GGTCTCAACAACCCTCACACACCTCTCAATCTCATGCCACCCTCTCCTCTCATCTTTCATCTCTCCCGCTCTCTCTCCCTCTCTTTATTTCTCTCTCTCATTTTCTTATATCTTTTCTCTCTCTAGATTCTTTGACATGGACAACCTCAAGGCCTTCACAAGCTCCTTAAAGGCAAGTCTTGTGGATATGTAAAAAAAAGTGGCCCTTGTCAAGAAGGCCTTATGCAATGCCAAGGGTGGTCTGGATCCTTAAAGCATGAGAGTGTTAGAGCCTAAGACCCTGAGGAATTTGATAACTTCTTATGGGACCTGGAGCAGTACTTAGAGGTTGCTCATGCTTATGGAGAATGCTTGGTTGGCATTTGTGCCATGTACCGGTACGAAACTCTAGTGGAAAATGTATGTTAGGACCCTTTAAGGCCCAATGTTGAAAAAGTTGCCCGACCGCCTAGGAGGCTTTCTGGAGAAAACGCTTAGGCGTTCTTAAGGTGGTCACTGTTAGGCACTAGAACTTGGCGCCCGCCTAGGAGGTCGGGTGGTCGATTAGGCGGTCGAAAAGGCGGTAAAAGGCACCCCCGCCTAGGCAGCCTGCAGGAGTATGGCGGAAACGTTTTTCGAGAGGGGACAAAAAAGGTCATTTTACCCCTTTAAAAGGGGGGATAAGGGTTTGGGGGCTCATTCTTGCCGCCGAAAGCGATTTTAGTTAAACTTTAGAGTGAGAAACAACTTGAAAAAAATTAAATTTGAAGATTTTTTGAGAGATTGAAATTTTTTTGAAATCCTCAAATGGTCACGATATTAAAGGATATTCAACCCCAATCTTTTTGAGGCTTATAGGGGTTGTAAAAAAGGATATTTGGGATCCCAAACATTTTGGTTTGGCCTGAAATCGAGTCTACTTCAAGAAGGTTGGTATATTTTAATAGTGTTCATTAGTAATTGTATTTTTTTCCCTTAATGTCTATTGTCTAATGAAGTTATTTTTTTCTATTTGTATTTTTTTTATATTTTTTGATATATATTTTGAGTAATGATCCTATAGGACCCTCCGCCACCCATGTGTGTAGGACCCCAAAGGATCGCCATTAAATTTGGCACAGATGTCTAGAAAAGTTATCACATGGGTGTGAGACTTGACATTTCTATAGATTCATGCCAAATTTAATGGTGATCCTTTGGGGTCCTACACACATGGGTGGGGGAGGGTCCTATAGGATCATTTCTCATATTTTATATGTTATTGTCTATTTGGATTATTATTTTATTAGTTAGTTTAATAATTGCTTAATTCTTAATTGCTTATTAAATAATTGTATGTGAAATGTGTTTTCTCGTTGTATGATTCATAAAACATAATTATTTTATTAGTTAGTTTAATATTTCTTAATGCTTATTACATAAGCGCATGTGTGATATTCTTTTTCGATTTTGTGTTATATCATTGCAATTTTGATGTGTATGTTTTACCTAGATTTATTTTTTGGCTTCATAAGAAGCCAATACATTAAAAGGTCAATGGCACTTCCCATTTGTAATAAGAAGCCAATACATACAAAAATTACTTATTAAATAATAAAATAGAAAATTTTATATATAATAAAATTGGGGGAGATGTGGGCGATCCAATTTTTTTTAAAAACAATCATTGGCTTTTTTTGGGTCTGGGCCCCCGCCTTAGCACCTAGGCTGCCCAGCTCCCGCACCGCCTAGGCAGCTGCCTCTGACTTATCGAACATTGTTAAGGCCTAAGGTGAGCACTTGAGAGGCATTAAACCAAGAGCTGAAGGATCAGTTCTTGCTGGGGAATGCAACTTGGATGGTTTGTAAAAGCTTTGACTAATGGGCTTGATGAGGTAGTACTTGAAGAAATTCGTGTCTAATATTGGACATCCGTTGGATATCAAGGCCCCTGACTGAAGAGGAATGAGTCTTCAATTTTGTGACTAGGATGTAGAGTTGGGTCTAGGTTGAGCTTAAGAGGCAAGGTGCGCGATAGTTGCCTGCTGCTATGGCGGCAATTGAGGCCCTATCAAACTACTACTGTTGTTGTGAGGTGGAGTTGACCTGCAGATCGGGCTTCAAGTCTATCACTGAGAGAACTTTGGCGCCCTAAAATGGGGCTAGATTTGAGAAGGGGGCAGTGGAAGAGGGGCACCTCAGAAAATATATCAGGCTTTTGTAAGTATAACCATTGGGCTAGAGACTGCTCACAAAAGCAGCCTTTGAATGCAGTTAAGGTAGTTGAGGGAGAGGAGGCCGTAATGCAATCGTGCTCCTTGGAAATATTGAATGTACTACAGCTAGTCGAGACATTTGTGTGGGCTTTGGAGGAGCCTAGGCCAAAGATTGTGGAGGCAATGGTAAAGAAGGCCGTAGTAAAAGGCTACTTAGCATCAAGACGGAAGAATCAAGTGAGGACTTTGGTGGGATCATTATGAGGAGGTCATCGATGGTGAGGATGGCAGCTCAGCATGGGGGGCTGTTCCATGTATCTTTGTTTAGTGAGGCATGTGATGCGAGGAGACACCCACCAAGTCCTAGTATGATAACGAACTGGAGATTGAACTGCCAGCATGACTATCTTGGGCATCACACAACCTGTGGTATGGCTAGAGTTAGTCCTTCCTCTTGAACGTTGTTTGTGGTAGCAAGAGGCATGGTGGAATCAGTAGATCTCCTACAGAACAACTGTCTGAAGAGGATGTTAGAGTTAGGGTAGGGGATTCTTGTGAAACTCCCTGCTTGATGTCATGCGTGTGGGCTAAGTGAGGTGCGTGGAACCTCCCATGGCAACATTACAAATTGGAAATATCCTGCATTTCATGTATGAACTTGTGCAAGCTTGGGGCATTTAGCTACCACTACTGGCAAAAAAAAGTTCTGGAGTTGACAATACCTATATGAGGAATTCCGTCCGGTCTTTAAGACATCCCATCCTTGTATGTGTGATCCTTTGGCAGATAGGTGCATGTGAGACCGGAGTTCGTTGGCAGCAAAGACCCTTGATGAGAGACCTTGGGCAAGATGTTTCAGATGGATAATTGAAGGTTGGACGATGGATCACTGAGACATTGGGCATGAGGCCTATATGGTCAAACAACCAAACAGAACCAGATGGGACATGGGCAGCATATCATGTGGGCTTTCTTGGTATGACCCATATGCAAGAGGCATGGCTGGCCGTACACCTAGGTTGGATTTGTAGATTAGTGATGGTCAAGTGTTTGTTCAAATTATGTAACTCCCCTTGTCATAGGCCATGTGAATGTGAGAGTGATTGCACATGAAATGGGTTTGTTTGGCCATTGGTGGCTTTATGACGCCAATGCATGTTTGAATGGGCATGCATGGTTAGTGATGACTCGTATAGCAAGCTGCAACCTTCAGTGACCCCCCTTAGTATGAGCTGGTGTGCAGCCATAAATGGAGAGGCCTGATCATGTAACTGCTAGGCTGGTGGTGTGCAGTCATGGTGGGTACTGTTCTTCATCATTCAAAAAGTCGGTAGCCTGCTTAGGCGGCTGGGAGGCCTCACCTTCCGCACTGGGCCTATGTGGCCTAATGTGGGACGGTGACCTTGGGCAGCTGTCTAGTCGCATAGGGCACTGCCTGGGGGGGTTGCCAACCCTTGGGCACCCGCCCAGAGCCCTTTTCGTGAGGGAAAAAATAGCCCTTGTCGAAAGGGGAAAAAATGTAATTTTCCCCCCTTTAAAAGGGGGAAAAAATAGCATTTGGAGGGCATTACCCTCCTCCCCAAAAAAAATAAATAAATAAATAAATAAAATAATAGAGAACTCTATTTGTTTGCTAAAAACGACTTTTTTATCTCAAAGTAAAATTTTTTTAAGGATCGAATTCGTATTAAAAGTTCAAGAAATCAAAAGGAATTCGACCTAGAACTTGCTAGGGATTAAAGTGGTTGTAAAAGAGTTTTTGGCAACATAAAGTGATCCATTCAGGCCTACTTCGATTGGTTCTTGAAAGGTTAGTAAATTTAGTTGTTTATGTTAAGGGTTTCGTATTTTTTTAAAGTATTGCCATGTTATGCTTTTTTATCATTCTCTTGTGTTTATTTTTGAAGTTTGGCCTTATATTTATGATGAAACTTTATGAGTGTTTATTTCATTTTATTTTTATTTTTAAATTTTTATTTATTTTTATTTTAAGGGTTTGCCATTTTTGTGATTATAAAATATTTTGACTTTGTATTTATATTGCAAATTTAAAATTAGTACTCTATATTTGGCCATGTTTCTAATTTTTAATGCAAAAATAAAGATTTACAATATATTTCCTCCCCTCCTCCCACCCCTTGCCCCCTTTGACATGGTGGGCGGCGGCTGCCCCCATCTTCTTGAACATTGCTGGTCTTAATGGCCAATGTAGTCGTCAAGTGTGTGGATGCATGTGGAACTGTATAAATCCTTGCCCAGACCATTGAGGAGCACCTATGGCTTTGTAGATAGTCTGGGATGAGGTTGGTGTAGCCCGGAAAGCTATTTATGCGTCCTTTGCATTGGAAAGCTAGTTAACCACTTGCGGTTCCAGTGTTCCACTAATTGGGAGGTATGAGTGGAGATTGGCATAATGGAAGTTCTAGTACTCATTATCCTTCCTTTGGATGTAACTCTCTTACTCCATATGTTTTGGTAACGAAAGGAAATTTGGGTGAAACCCTCCTTGGTAAATATATTGCATGGCATCTTTGTGTAATGCTCAGAAGTAGTGCATGTTCTCGGTTCAAACACATTCCACATATTATTCTTTTGCATCCTAATTCCTACTAGAATACCTTTTTTTTATACTTTTGTGCTAGAACATTTCCTTTTCCCTCTCTTTTGTAGGAAGACATTTTGTGTGTACAATGCTGTTTTTGACCTCCGATGCTACTTTTGTTCTTTAATATTTTGTACATATTTGTTAACTGTATCATCATTCTGTTTGCAAGATCCAATGTTTTCCCTGACCTTAAGCTCAAGTCTGAAAATTGTAATTTGCAGATAAGAGGACTTTACAAAGGTGCTACATCATCTTTTATTGGAGTTTCATTTGAGAGTTCCCTGAGTTTCGGCTTTTATTCTCAGGCAAAAGCAGCATTGCAGGTTTCCCTCATGCATCTTACAAATTGATTACATGCCAACGTGATCTCACCAACCCTCACGACCTAACCCTTTTTAATACACTCGTCACAAATTCTGTATCTTGATATGTTCCTTTAAACCCCAATAGTGTTATTTTTTTATTGGAATTAGATGTTATTCATTACTTCTGGGTTTATAAGTTGTTGTTGTCTTGTAAAGGGCGAATGGGATAGTGAAACCCCACGCCTTCAAACGATTTTTCCTTCAGGAGCTTTTGCCGGAGCCATAATCAGTTGCATACTTTGTCCTGCTGAGTTGATCAAAGTAAGTGAAATTGAGATCCCAAGTTGGGGCCCCAACAGATTACTAGTTAATCCAAATATAACATTCAGCGTTTTCAGTGTAGGCTGCAAGTTCAAGGGGTGGAACCCATTGCTTCTCAGAAATGCCAAATAAGATACAGTGGTCCTCTTGATTGTGCTACTGAAACAATCAAGCACGAAGGGGTGAGTGAATAATGGATCAATAATTTATGTTTTTTGGTATTTTGGATTGAAATTTATTGTTAAATTGACAAAACACGTTTAAGCCAATTGTATGATGCAACATCAGGTAAAGGGTTTGTTTCGTGGTGGTCTTGTAACCCTCTTAAGAGAAGCGATTGGCAATGCTGTCTTCTTTAGCACTTATGAATACAGTCGCTTCTACATGCATTCTCAAGCAAAGTCTGCTTTGTCGAGCAGGAGCCAAGCCCAAGATTTGGTTCTTGATGTAGGAATTGGCATTATCAGTGGCGGGCTTGCCGGTATGTCTGTAAGTACCAAAGAATAATGAAGAATTCTCCAATTATTGGAAATCTTGTGAAAATGGTTTTGAATGTTGTAAGAAAGATGTTTTTCTGGAGGGTTTGTATGATATGCTATCATTTGGGTTTTCCTACTCTTTCGTAGTGCTACTAACTGTCATATGTCAACAATGGATGATTGGGGTGTCATTCCTGCCATCACATTTGTAGAAGATTAAATCGAAAAAACCGTAGGTAAAGAATGACTTTGTCCTTCCATCTTGAACTCCATTTTTACTGTCTTTGCAGTTTTGGTCTGTTGTCTTGCCTTTGGATGTGGCAAAAACTATTATTCAGACTGATAAGAAAGCTAGCCGGAATCCATTTGACACATTGAGCTTGGTAAACGATTACCACATTTCAATTTTGTTGCTTTGTATGTACCATAAATATGTGTATTATGTAATTTGAAGTGGTTTATACATGGATTGGTTACAGGTGTACAAGAGAGTTGGTATAAGAGGATGTTATGCTGGCCTGGGACCAACATTGACGAGGGCTTTCCCTGCAAATGCGGCTGCTATTGTTGTTTGGGAACTTACGGCCAAGGCTCTCGGGATCAGGCCCTCTAGCAACTGATATTGTGCCCTTTTGTTTATCAAAAGAAAAAAATATTTGTGGCAATTTTGATGGTCTTCTATTTCCTATGGTGCCATGTTACCCTATTGATGGTGTATCTTTATCTTATGACATGTGTGAGAGAGAGTAATTGTAATGAGAGAGGGTAGAATAAGGAAGCATTTGGGTGCCATGTGGCATTTGGTCTCTATAGGGTGCATAAGAGAGGGGAGGAAGCATTTGGGAGGCATATGGCATTTGATCTTGAGAGAGAGAGAGTACTTGGAATAAGGTGGCATATGGCGTTTGATCTCTAGAAAGTTAACCTTTTGTAGCTGGTGTCACCTTCGTGAAAGTAATTTCTATTCCAATGCTATACCGTTAAAAATAAAAAAAGAGAAAATTACAAAAAAAAAACATTCTTAAATGAACTATTTATGCAACTTACCCTCATTATAAAATTTCTCACTTTTTTCCCTCCAAACTACCTTTCTTCACAAAAACTGCTCAACCCAAAAGTAGCATGAAATAAGATTAAAAGTACCTTTGTTTCTTTTCACAAGGTCTGCTCTCTCCTGTTTTCCACAGTAAAGATGTGTTTCGACAGCCCCAATATGTGCTCCAACAGTATTTTGTTTGACCCACAGCGCTCTGACATTTTGATAACTCGCTCTGGCAATGCAACTACACGCTTCGACAATCTGCTCCGATAATGAAGCTTCTGGAGCTACAGTGCTTTAGAAATGGAGGACTGCGTTTCGACTGTTCGAATGCACGCTCTGGTAGTCACAATGTATGCTCCGATAGTGCTTTGTTTGACCCACAACGTCTTGACATACTGAGAACTGGCTTCGACAGCTTGAATGGACGTTCCAACAGTCCCAATGTGTACTCTGATAATCATTTGTCTGATCCAGAACATTCCAGCATTTTGAGAATGCATTTCAGTAATGAAAATATGCGTTTCGACAATATAACATTGCCGTAACGTGAAAATACACGTTTCGACAATGTAATACCACGTTACGACAGTGCTTCTTAACATTCTACTCCGAGAGTAGTATATTGCCCTTCGGCACTACTTTATTTGAGATTTGCAAATTGATTTGATTTGTACGGAATCGGTATTTTGTTTTTTATTTTGGTAGGTTTTTGTAAAAAAAAGTTATTCAGAAAAAAACAAAATGCGAGAAAAAATTGGCTCAGAGTTTGTTCATTTTAAGTGTTTTTTTTTTTGTAACTTTTTTATAAAAAAATATTTTCTATTCCAATAACATCAATGGCATTCTTTTCTTATATGACATTGAAGTATGGTTCCTTGAGAGTGGAGAAAACGGTGGAGCAATCATCAAAGAGATTACAGCTGCCATCCTCCAATTATAGGACAACTACGCTTTCACATGCGTCATATCGATGCTACTTTACCTCATCTTCACGTGAACAAATCCATCCAAGGCATTTTCAAAATTAGATGTGACATTTTGTCTTTTTCAAACGATGTGACATTTACCAAATTCTCCTTTTTCATTTTTATCTCAGAAAAATATTAATAAATTATGAAATTATAAAAAGATGGAGCCAAGGCTCGGACCACTAAAATTAGAGCCTCGCCTAGAGGAAGTTGTTTTCGTTACCCAAACATAAATGGACAGAAAAAAAAATAGTGCTTTTTATAATATATTTTTCGATCGTTAATTTTTAAAATTTTTAAGTTTTTATAATTTTGTTCGATCTATATTATTTTTAAAATTTTTAAATTTTTATAGTTTTGTTCGATCTATATTATTTTTAAATCTTTAAATTTTTATAATTAAATATAAAAATATATTTAAAACTATTATCAAAATTTTTAAAACCATAATTCCCGATACCATTTGGAAGTGAATTTTAATTTGATTGTTTAAATCCTCGACTCCGTACAAACCGCACCCTAATTAAAATGGTCAACTTATCTTGTTTAAAACCAATACCCTTATTAAAATTGTCAAATTATCTTGTTTAAAATCAATATTATTGTTTTTATTTTATTTAATAGGCTTGCCTGAATTGAACTGTTAAAATACCTCTCCAAGGGCTCACAATTTAAAGAGAGGGACTTTTTGAGTTGATACCGTGTATTTTAATTATCTGATAGTTGTGGGAATTTGAGTATTTTGTCATTTGGTTTGAATAATTACTTAGCTTGCAAGGGTTCTCAATCCTTCAAACATGAGCAATTTGGCTAATTTTTACTATATTTTTTAAAAAAACGCTCGTGTAAAATTATCTTTAAAATGTAGCTCTCTTAAAATTAAAACAAAAATAATATGATTATCTTAACAACTCTATAAAATAATTTCACCAGTTAATTGATATTTTCTTAAATTAAAGAAAATAATTTGCTTATATTAGTAATTTTATAAAGTATTTGACAAGCTATTTGATATTTTTTCATCTACCAGCCAGGCCGTTCTTGCATTGTATTTTTACATAGATATTTAGTTCAATTGTTGAATACATCAGCTGTAACTACTAAATTAAACTTTTGTAGTCCCAAATGCCCTTGGTCGCTGAGCAGTCTCACTCGGATTTAAAACCCCAAAATGGGCTGCGGATTGCCATCCGTATGATGGAAGTGAAATTCGTTGAGGAGAATTTTGTAAAATATCTAAAATACGATAAAAAGCACTATTAAGAGGATCTAGCCCATTAGTTTCAGATCAATGAATTTAACCATTCGTTCCAGATCAATTATACTATCCAGGTTGTCGTTATCATCTTTAAAGCCTTCAGGTCAATGAACCTATCCAAATAATGGGGCATCATCATCATTAAAGCCTCTCAATCTATCCAGATATTTTTAAGTACAGTTTATACAAGGCAGCAACCTTGATTATAGAAGTAAAATTGCGTACATTTCCAATTGGACAAGATAGATTTGACATCTAAAACAATAATCACCTCTTAAAATAGAGTATTACGCCTATATCATCTCAGTAAAATAACAGTAAAAATTACTCGAATCTTGCAAGTAAAGTTGTCCTCTACCCTCAACAAAACGAACAGTGTACATTTACTCAATATCCACAAGTCGAAATCTTCTTTACACTTTCCTTTCTTCAATGCTGGATACAACATTGCTGCTTAGAAGTAAAATCGGACATAGAAAAACAACTATAAATGCATGAAAATTAGCAAATTCCTACTGGTGAAATTCTCAAACACTAAAATTCTAACTTTAATAATTATAGGCACATATATGAAGAGTTCAGTACGACCTACGAACATCTTCAAATCCTACTAACATCTTCAGATCTTTTCCTGTTGCATCTTTATAAATTCTACTTCTTTCCTTTTTTTCATGGAGTCGAAAAAATACTTCTCATAAAATACATTCAAAAAATTCTCCCAAATAGTTATTAATTCCTATCCTCTATCCTTTTTCCAGGCCGCTTTATTGAGCTCCACCGGTGCTCATCTTCTCTTTCAAGCCTGGAGATACCCAGCCAACTTTATGCTCGTCCGTACAATTTAAAACTTTAAAGTATCTTTTCTTGGAGATGAGCTTGGATCCATAATTTTGGAGGTGTCATGTTAATGCATCTCAATAGATAACAATTTTTCAACCTTCAATAGGAAAACATTACTCACGATCCCATTTAGGTTTTTCGTTGGCTTAGGATATAAAGCAAAAACACATTTTGAATATTTGGATCTAAAATCCCACCGTAGATTCATTTACTCGTAGTTTAAAAAATAGTGATCATTTGATACGATATGGAACAACTAAATGAATTAAACCATTCCGTATTCATTTAAAGAAATATTTACTTTTCCATACTGCTAAATTTTGGATTGAAAATCTGATTTATACTACTTGAACCGTTCATTTTAATTCTGCATCTCAGGATTGAGGGATGGAGTGTTGCAACCCACCCCTTTTCCCGTAGCTCACTTGATCTAAATTGAATGGCAGTTCGCCGGATGGAGACTTTCGCACAGTAAAAGTATAGACAGATTTCCCAAAATAAAATTTTTGTAGATGTCTCGGGATATAATCATTAAATTTTGTTTTTTTGTTTCTTTTTTTCTCCATTTTTTCTCTTAATCGGATGCAAGCAAACCTAAATAAAAAATAAAAAAAATAAAAAAGAAACAAAAACTAATCTCTACAAAGTAAAGAATATAAAGAAACCACTCTTAATAACCGATTAAAAAGTGAAACAGAACACTGAGGTCATGCGTCTCCATGAAAATTAATATTTACAACAACAGAGTGACAAATCCTGTTGCTCTTACACGTGCCCATATCTAAACTCTCACACAACTTAGTATCAGACTACACGTGCCCATTTCTAATGTTCACACGTGGGTGCCACAAGAAGCATGTCTCATGGCACATGCCCTTTTTAACATAGATATTATAGATGCAGGAAAAAGCCTGAATAAAAAAAAGAAGGAAAAAAAAGAAAAGAAAAAAAGAGTCGAAGCCTGTACAGAAGTTTCGAGTGCCTTCTCTCACACCGATCAGCGATGGCGGCTTCGGGTATCGCCACTGTAAAGCCTGCATGTCACATGTGAATTATGAGGGAGATCACACACAGAGGTGAAGAGAGTGAGAGAGGGGAGTTACCAGTCATAGACGGTTGGGGAGTTTGGCTGAGGCTTATCGAAGACCTCAGCACCGATGGTCTTGGTGGCAAGGTTGCTTCCGGGGTTGAAGACGCTCCTCCAAACGTTATCCTTCTTCGCCGAACCCGGCGTCATGGGCGTCCCCGGCGTCGGGGGAGTCCCCGGCATCGAAAGTGACCTCCCAAACTTACTGTTGCTCCCTTCTCCTTCTCCCCCTACATCTGCACCACCAATACAGTCATCAATTATGAAAGAATCAATAACTTGACTTAAGAATTTACAGAGAGAGAGAACCTTTCACGCTGAGGGCCTTGGTAGAGAGCTTCCTAAGTTTTCCCAACCCTTGATCAGGCTGGGGACCGGCCAGTACGTCGTCCCAAAGCTTCTCCAACAGCACCATTTCAATACTCTCTCTCTCTTCACACTCTCTCTCTCTCTCCCCCTTCTCTCAATATATAACTTGAAGAAAGGGAAATGTCACAAATGTTACCACCCAACAAAATACAGAATTACGTCTTAAATGAAGTGCATGGAGAGCGTATGGCGTATATATACGGTTGAGGACGTGGCGGATAAGGATGAAGGGGAACCGGTGGGACCCGACCCTTTAATTAATAATAATATCTTCTTACCTCAAACTTTTTCTCTCTAATCCAGCTTTCTCTCTCTAGAACCCGGCGCGCAGTGGCCATCCCTCGACACGTTGCTGTCTACGTATCGGGATTTCTGGGATCGCAGAGGATCGGGTGGGGCCCTCTTTTCCACCAAGTGACCTATTCTTCATCTTATGTAACGTGTCCTAAGACCCGCGCTCTTCCGAGCCGGGACCCGGTGGCTTGGTCTTCCTGGCGCATTCTTTTGCTTTCATTTTGGATCTCTTTTTCTTTATTAAGGGAAAGGAAAAAAAAACAAAAAACAGGGTAAAAGCTACAAATTCCACATCGATGACTAGGGTTTAAATAGGATGTTTGATTTGGATCAGAATCGCTTTTATTCAAATTGATTTAGGAGAGCCAATTGAATTCCCTCTTGCTCGTAAAATCGATCCAGAACGGTTAATCGGATATGAGACTTGAAGCGGTTTAACGAGCCTAATCGGTAAATCGGCCGTTCTAACTGGGTAAATCTTGAGGCGATCGAAAAATTGTTGTAAAAGTAAAAAAAATCTACTCAAATATGAAAAACATATAAATAATGATTAAAACAAAATACATTAAAATGAAATTGATCAAAACAATTTTTAATCTTTAGCATAATTTAAAGAATATTATAAAATATATTATAAATAAAATTCTTTATTTTTGATATTTTATATACATTTTTTTTTAAAAAAAATTTCTTTTAAAACACACATCGATCACCTAAACTGCCCCTTACACCGGAACCGGCCCCTAAGTGATGGTTATATCCCCCGGTTTCTCTAATGTGGATTGAGAACAACTAATTTTAGGTAGGAACCGGTCGCTTATAGGTCTATTAGGCAACTGCTGATATGGCTTGACTATCTAAATGGATTTTTAAATAGAAAATAAATGTGTATAGTACTATCCATAAATATAAAATAATACTAGTTGGAAAAGACCTTAGACAAAAATAAGGCACCATGCACCAATCGCTCAAATAGTGTACTCATTGCCTTGGCATTGTTGTACCGTCTAAAAATTCACTTGATGGACATTACAAGGAATCTATTTTAGACAGCCTCAAGGATTTGTCCTAAAATGTATTAGGAACATTGGTTTAAAAAACGGAAGGGTGTTTCGGATTGGGGCATCTCAAAAATCCATTCAGATAGGTAAATCGACGATCCGGATAAAAAATCGATCGAATCGATTGGATTAAGCTTTAAAAATATCTAAAAAAAATATTAAAATTCATTATAAATGTTGTTTTTTAATAATCCAATAAGAAATCGGGGTGCTACATTAATTTTCATTTTTTTCATCAATATGTGAATATTGAGTTTTTTTTCTCTATATGAACTTATTTTAACAAAAATACTTGTTGTATTTCTGACAAAATTAAGAAATGAGTTTTTTTGACAAAAAATATGAATTTATTATAACAAAAATAAGAAATGAGTTTTTTTGACAGAAATATATGTATTTTTTTTTATAAGAACTTTTTATTTTTTTGACAATAACTTTTTATTTTTTATTTTTTTGACAAAAACATTTTATTTTCTTGACAAGAAAAAGAATTGATGAGAACCTTTCATGTTTTTTATACGAAACTTTTTATTTTGTAGATAAAAAAAAAAAAATGACAAATTGCAAAATTGATAGAGACCTTTTTTTTTTTTTTTAGAAAAAGCCATTAAATTTTTTTATAAGAAAAAAATTTGACAAAAAATTTAATTTTTTTTATACGAAAATTTTTATTTTATTGATAAGAAAAAAATTTGACAAAAAGCGAAATTGATAAAAACCTTTATTTATTTTTTTACAAAAAACCTTTAATTTTTTTGATAAGAAAATAATTTGACAAAAAAAAAGAGGAAAAAAAAAAGTTCCTCAACACGACGAATCAAACCTGCGTCCGTCCACATAATGAGCGCACGCAATAACCGTGTCACACCCCAAGAATTTACAATATTGATATTCCTGAGATGTGACAGTCAAAACATATATACATCTCTTGATAGGACAAATTTACACTGACGAATTCTTACAAAGTAACAAAAAAAAAGCTTAGACACAACTACAATATCTTCCAAAGTTGCCCTTGACGAGTACTCAAAATGAAGCCGCAGTTATCCTGAAAAATGTTTACCATAGTTTGATGAGTTTGGCTACTCAGTAAGTGATCATCATAATCCTAAAAATAATCATGGTTGAAAGATATCAATATTTTCCAAAAGGAGATATATTAACAGAAATGCATCAACAGTTTCACTTTCAATAAATACATAAGTAAGTATAATTCGAATAATTGAAATGCATATAACACTTTAACGGTAGTGCATAATTCATAGGATTTCACAAAATACCCTACTGGCGTCCCAAGTAGGTCACCTATATACCCCATCAGCGTCCTGATGGGTCCACTTAATCCCTATCGACGTCCCAGATAAGTCCACTTAATCCCTGCAGGTCCACTTATACCTCACCGGCGTACCGGATGAGTCCACTTGATCCCTACCGGCGTCCCAGATAGGTCCACTTATACCTCACCGGCAAACCGGATGAGTCCACTTGCATACTTAAATTATTTCTAAATCTCTTTAAACATTCGAAAGCAGCAATATCATGTACTCAACATATCACTGAAATCATTAATATGAATTTCACTTAAACCATTAATAACAGTCACTCTCTATAACATTTCAAAAATAACCAATCAAATATTTTGGGCTCAAATTTAGAAAGGTAGCAGTTTGTAAAGGCATTCTAGCATAATTGCCAATTTAATATGTATAGAAAAACTCTTATAAAAATTTAAAAATACGGAATTATCACAATTTATGGGATATCAATCCACAAATAAACATTTCACAACAATACTATAATCAATTACAAAAATGTCAATTTTTTTAAATAATAAGGTAGTCTAAATATTTTACAAAGTCTAAATATTCAAAACAGTAGAAAGAAATATCACAATTTTACTAAAAGCAGAAATATCACATTTATTTCTAACAATAAACAAGAAAAATAAATAAATTTATTTTTCTAATTTACAGCATTCAAAATTTCTAACATAGATAAAATATCACAATTTTTATTAAAAAGATTATTTTTCAAGATAATGAGGTCACGTGTGCATAGAATTTATCGCGCCTAAAATTCATGATAATAAGCAGAAATAATTATTTCATTTCATTTTTAAAAAGAATGGATTATTTTTCGAGACAATGGGGTCACTTACACACAAAACTTATAAAATAAAGATCCTGGACAGAAATATCACTATTTATTAAAAACAGACTATTTTCAGGAAGACGATGTCACTTACACACAAAACTTATAAAATAAAGATCCTGGACGGAAATATCACTATTTATTAAAAACGGACTATTTTTCAAGAAGACGATGTCACTTACCTAAAATATTTGAGAGGGAGCTTCCGATAAAAATTCGGCTAGGGAGAGGAGCTCACTGTGTTTCGACCAGAAAGGGAAAGATTTCAAAAGTTTTCTAGGGTGGGAGTCCTCGCCTCTCGTATTTAAACTCTTACGACACCTTATTATAATATTTTATTAAGTGACACCTCATAAACGAGGTGTAACCGTTACAATACCCCTTATATGCTTAAAGCCCACGTCCACTTGACGTGGCAAGGCAAGAGCAAATAAAAGAAACTTAACCAAAAGATTTTGAAAACAGTGATGGTCCTTAAGGACCATCATGCTCATATAGACCATCACTTATTAAGAGTTTATTTTCTTCTTTTTTATTTTTATTTTTTATTTTTTATTTTTTTACTTTTTTTTTTTAAAATTTTAGAATTATTACAAACCGGTATAGCACTTGCAACTTATAGTTAATAAAACCGTTAACAAAATATATAATATATGAACGTTTTAAGGTATGACCTTTTCGCATAGTCCCACATCGAAGAGAGAGACGCAAATTTATGTGAATAAATAGTTCTTTGTACTCACCGATTACAGCGCATGTGAAGCAACGAGGTCACGCGAAGCGTGTGAATCGTGAGCTCAACTAGGGCCCGTGAAGCGTGTGGGGGTACCCAGTGGGCTCCCGGTCTCTTAATTTTGCCTCGAAATTCGAAATTCTCTGAAATTTATAAAAATACCCTTGACTGTAGAAGAATGGGCCTCAAAATTCGAAATTCTCTGAAATTTATAAAAATACCCTTGACTGTAGAAGAATGGGCGGGTCTTGACGTCGAAGAACTAGGCGATTTACTATGCAGAGAAATTTATAAAAATACCCTTGACTGTGGAAGAATGGGCAATCGCCGGTTCCCGACGTTACAGAAGAACCGACACGGGATGACCGATTCCCGATTCGAATAGGCCGATTCTGTGCCGACTCGGCGAGTTTTAATGAATAGTTTAATAAAATTATATTATCACTTGAATTTCAAATCAATAATGTTTATACATGTGTATACCCCAGAGTTTTTTTTATGTAGGTTTCAATTATTGACTTGTATGTAGATGATATACTCATATTGTAATACTTCGTGCAATGAGAACGTAAAAATCATTGTCTTTTGAATTTAATTTGAAAGACATGGAGCAAGCCGTTGTGATTGGAATCAAAATAGTGAGGAAAGAGACCCTGAGCCACCATATAGAAAATTGCTCAAAAGATTTGACTACTTTAACTATAAACTAGTTTTGACCCCTTATGATGCTCATTTAAACTTGGAAAGAACTGCAATTGTCCTTTTTCCTATTTAGACTATGCCAGAGTCATGGATGTTTGATTATGTAGTGTCCCGTGCTAAACCAGTTGCCTTTGATGTTGGTAAATTGAGTATATATATAAGAAACTTAAGTCAAGATCATTGGGATATGGTTTACAAGGCCTAAGA